CGGACTCAGCATATTAACTGTCTTCATCATAGTTTCTGTCATTATACCTGCGGCAATTGTAGGAGAGAATAAATATCCTTCAGTAATTGTTGCTAGAATAACGGAGTGAGTTTAAATTTCTGAAATCAATGAACTTTGCTTCCCAGAACTAATCCATCTATAAGGAAGTTTTTGATTTTCTAATTTTCTCTAACAGTGTCGCAAAGATACAAAAGATGATGCGAAATTTCTACATCGCAGCCTATACCAGGGCAGGCCCTTGGCTCCTCGGAATTTACCTAGGTTACAAACTAAATGGGAGAAGAGATGCACTCAGTACGAAGATTGTGATGTTGGGGTGGACTCTCACTGCACTAGCATTTGTCTTCTCATTCTTCACGTATAGAATTTTCCAGGGTGCAAATTATAAATGGAATGCTCCTTGGGGAGATCTTCTACGCAGGCTTATCGAGACATATTTGGGCGTTCGGCATCTGCTGGCTGATTTACTCATCAGTATTAGGATATGGAGGTGTTATTTCACGATTTCTGTCACTTTCAGTCTTCCTACCATTCGGAAGGATATCTTATTCCATTTATTTGACACACAAGGTTATTCAACAGATGAGAACCGCTTCCGCCAGGGTTCCTACGTATTTCAGCGAACTCGGAATTGTCTATGCATTTCTCGCAGAATTCGTTGCATCTGTCATTACCGGACTAGCTCCTAGTCTTGTCTTCGAGTCACCGTTTTTGGTTCTTGAAATAGTATTTTTCCGGCCTGTTGGCCAGTCCTCACCTGCGGCTCGGAGGCCAACGCCACACGAGTAAAAAACCCCATCGCAACAGCCCAGGAACAATATGTTTTTGTAGTGATTTTCAAGTTTTCGAGTTTGGGAAGTATGTAATACCAATTCCCAGACGAGAAATCGTGAGAAGTAGTACAGAAAAAATTGTTTTTGGAAAACAGAAAAAAGTTGGGAAGTGCGGATCACGAGAAGAGCTTCGGGACTCTGACACAATGGTTGATATTGATGACAACCATTATAGCAATGATAGAGTCCAAACGCATTTTGAACCAGATACGATTGTAGGTGTTCCGTTTCCGGAAGAGTAATAATCGAGAAGTATGGAAAAAAATTGGTGTTTTAACGGGTCATCCGCGACAAAACATTTGCGACAACCACTTCAGAAAATTATTCGCCCTAAAATAGACTTCCGATAATATACCAGATATTGATTTTCAAAGTATTTGATTGCTGTTTTATTCTTCTATATTATAATCTTTGAAAGTTGAGAGCACGCACGAAAAAATTTAATAGAAAAACCTATCGAATTCGTGAGAAAATTGTATTGAATATCCATTAAACTTTCTATTAGTTTTTGGCTGATTCTATTGACATGTTCAATAGAAAACATTCAATAGAAAAAGTCAACAGAATTCGATTTTTCTATCTAACTTACTCTTTTCATATATTTTCTATAAAATTTGCTCGACTCGAAATGTCCACATTTTTTTTCATTCTATTTTTCTTTTCTTCTCATCAAGAAAATCAAACGAAAAAACTTAGAAATTTTGAGCCGAGGAAATTTTATAGAAAATATCTCAATAGGATAAGTTATATAGAAAAATTGAATTCTATTGACTTATTGGCCAAAAACTAATAGACCAGTTCAATAGAAATTCAATCGAATTTTCTAACGAATTCGATAGGTTCTATTAAATTTTTTCGTCCGTGAACTTACATTGGTTCACCTCGCCCGGTGGCCTGGCGTAGTGGTTAAGGCCGTTGCCTCACAACGGATAGGTTCCAGGTTCGATTCCTGGCCGGGTAGAATGGTGAGATCTAACCATTTTTAAAGTCTTGATCAATCGCCATATAGTCTCATCAGACTCGAAGCGATATAAAATAAGCATAAAAAAAAAATANAATTGGTTCACCTTTCTTAACTCCGTGATGAGAAAATTCGACTATTCCCGATTAGATGATAAAAAATGAAGAGGACATAATGATGCTTTTGTCACTTGCCTATATTTGTTCTACTGAAATTCTTCTTCAGTACGATTTTTTCAACTCGGTAAAAATTTATGTGAAGAAATAATCTACAGAAACAGACTCAGAGAAATAAGTATCATAGAAAGATCAAATTCTATTTATTCTTTCTTTAAAAATGGAGCATAGAAAGCTCCAGTTGTTCTATTGAAGCTTTCTTACAAAAAATTGTGAGAAAGCTGAGAAATTTCTCAGTAGAACCGGCGAAAGATCAATAGAATTCCTTAACGATTTTTTATCTGCAATTTCCATCTGTGATTAATTATTGCCAGGCTTATGTACAAACATTATAAAATGGACAACTTGCAAAAGAATAATACTTAGGGGAGACCGGGGCAAAGTGGAACGGTGGGGCAAAGTGGAACGGCGGGGCAAAGTGGAACGCGGGGCAAAGTGGAACGCGGGGCAAAGTGAAACGGTAGCAAAAACGAATTTAGAGCGAATTTTGGGCAACTTTTTTTTTAACTTTATTAGTCGAAAAAAGATGAAAGGTCAAACGTTTCTGAGGGTCAAACAGTGGTGTATATCCCCTTAAGCCAGGGTGAAACTTCGAACCCAGGTGGAATTTGGAAGTTCTCGGTTGATAAGAATAGTCGTTGAGCGAGTCTGTATAGACTAAAGGATACCTAAAAAGTAACGAAAATTTTGAGCACAACTCATTTTTCCCCCATACGTCGAGGTAGAACATAGTTTTCCAGGTATGTGGCTTCAAAATGCTCCTCGTACCATAATTGTCATTCGAGTTACAAAAAAGGTTATTGCAAAAATTTGGCTATTTCCCTTACATTCTGCAATATTCCTCAAAAACTCAGGTGAAGGAGTAGGCAACTTAAGGATGTCCAAGTGCTTCGGCTATTTTTTACTCAATGAAATGCTTTTCTACTTTTGTCGTCGAATATCAGAGCTTTCATTTTAGCTCCATTTGACCCGAAGTTTCCAGACATTTTGCAATGATATTATTATTTAAAATGTGAAGGTCTGAACTTGAATCTCGATATTGAACCGTCAAAAAATATTTTCAAAATGTGAAAAAAATTAGAAAGAGTAATTTTTGGAGGAATTCATAAAACAATTGAAAAATTGAAATTTTTGAAAATTACGAGCATTTTTTAAAAATAATTTATGAACAATCAATTTTCCACGATAAAAATCATTTGTTCGGAAAGGCAAAAAATTTATTCATATTCAGAATTTTACCAGAAATCGATTCCATGCCTAAAAAAATAAGGTATCTGAAAGTTTAAACAATTTCAATTAATTATTTATAAGAAGGGAACCGACTGTAATGGCTAGGTGGGTGAGGTGTTGCTCCAGCGGACATCCAAGCTAAGCAGCGTTGAGCTGGGTTAGTACTTGGATGGGTGGACCGCTTAGGAACACCTCGCTCGCACAAAAATTGCGGGTGGTAGGTACGGCGTAGCGGCCTAGTGTCTCCATCTAGTCAGTGTGACAGATGGATATATTAGGGCACTGCACAAATCGGCCGACTGTGCGACTGGGGTTTTACATGGTTTCCCGTGCAGTCCTAGCTCGAATGGGGCACAGCTAAGAGTAAGACGGCCATGATACCGCAGATAACAATGAGAGGAAAAAAGAAAGGAGGGAAGGCAGGCTAGAGGAGGGGTTTCAAATCGAGAATTACTTCGATAAAACCAATGAAATAGAAAAAATAAAAAAAATATATATATATATATATAAGAAGGGAATGTTTAAAAAAATGATAATTCCCTACAAAATTATAATTTGAATGACGCTGAATATCCATGATTTTTTTTAAATTTTTGTCACACAATTTAATTGACAAATGTGATGATTGAAAATTGTTGAATCTATACTGTGGTTTGTATCAAACTATAAAAGATACTTGGATATCCTTAAACGGTTTTACCGCTTCGTGACTGAATTGAAAAAAAAAAGAAAAGAAAAGTAGTTTCATTCTATGGAATCTAACGAACATTGAAAAGAAACAGTTCAAGTGGAATGCAAATCGTGGTGCAAGGAACATTTAAAAGCCAAAACCTCGAAACACGAGGTTTTACCTCTACGTAAGGAGCAAAAAGGGTTGAGCCTCAATATTTTCCATACTATTTTAAATACTTCATAATATACTAAGAGTCGCTCTAATATTCTTATCAACTGGAGATTCCCATGTTTCATCTTGGTACCCCCTCGAGAACCCAACGGTTCTTAATTTAAGACTTCTTACTCGAAATATGGTTACANCCATGTTTCATCTTGGTACCCCCTCGAGAACCCAACGGTTCTTAATTTAAGACTTCTTACTCGAAATATGCTTACAAGTCGTAGTGATTTTTTTTACTTGACCCTCAACAACTGTTGGTCCTTCCGATTACTTCCCTGTTTGACCCTTAAGCGTTTTTGACCCCTCAAGAAAAAAATTTGCTACCGTTCCACTTTGCCCCGACGTTCCACTTTGCCCCGGTCTCCCCTAAATTATTTATTCATTTATCCAAAATTCTTAAGAATGTTTTCGATATTTATCTCATTCAAACACCATGGAAATGTTTTATGATGGGACTATTTCAATAGAGCTCAGCAATAAGAAAACTAAAGAAACATATTTACTCATTTACAACATACTCCTCACCCGATTATCCTTAAGGAACTTGAACCTTTCCACCCAATTATTGCGAGCTTTACCATTGAACTGCTCACCTCAACGTTAGCTGCTAACAAATTTATTTAAAAAATCGCGCTAATTTCGTAAGTGGCGCCACTGCTCGTGAGTAACATCAGTCGGTCATAACAATCCGCAAAATTCTCACAAAATTCCTTCTTTATCGACCTTCAATATCTACCCTCCCCAAATACGAAAAAAGACCAAAACCATGGAAGAAGTGGGAGGAAACCCAGCCAATCTGATTCTTCATGTGCTGTGGCTAATCGGAATCTGAAAGAAGAGAGAGAGAGAAGCGACGATACAACCACCTAGAACCCAACGAAGACAGTAGACTGCAGAACAGTGGTTTTTACGATTGTGGTGTGTGGATGCGTGTTTACACGAGTCCCTCAACTGCACTCAATGGAACTTTAAAACACGTTATTTCACTCATCCTTGCGCGTGTGCGTCTGGTAAAATGAAACGACCCTGCACATTTATTCGAGCACTAGTTTCTATGGTGTGCATTGGTGTACATTCCCGAGGCTTTACATGGCCAATAGACCAGTGTTAGGATAGGGAGTCAAGTAGCGAGCAGTCATCATTCAACTTCATCAAAATTGCAGAGAAAACGGCCCTTCGCATCCGATAATTATTGATTATTTATTGCCTAGAAGAAATCATTGTTTATGGAAAAAAAATAGTGCAATTGTTGTTGGTTGCTTGTGTTGCCCAGTAATTGACCGTTTGTCGCTGTGAACAGTTGTGTGTACACACTCCCGTGATTATGGTGAAAATGAAAGGAGGAAACGAGATAATTACTCATGAACAACTGTAAAATGCGGGTGTGATGATAATTAGTGGGTGAATTTGTTTTTTGATTGTGAGAAATCTATTTGCTCCCATCGGGCTACGGGCATTTAGGTTAAGCCCTTGTATGTGTTGTTTACACGCCCCCTCAATGTCTGATTTGTCATGAAGAGAGCACACTCGTTAGACACGAGTTTATACGCTTGGGTGTGACAATAACGGAATGAGTTAATTTAACAAACAGGTGTGAGGAGTGTGTCGTGATTGTTTTGGAATTTGTGAAGGTTAAGAGTTGGGCGCCTTTTGCGAGGGTTGTCGGGGGATTGGGAGGGAATAATGATGAGTACGTGGACTGAGAGAATGCACAGGAGGGCTGCTACCCTTGGGAACGTGGTCACGAGCTGTGGACATCCCAGCTCGGTGCCACCGTATCCGAGGAGACTTGAAAAGTTCGTAATTCTTTGAAGTATTTGGATTTATGATGTTATTCATTTTTGTGGATGATAATATGAAATTTAAGGATATCCAAGTTCCTTTTGCAGTTTGGTACAGACCACACTATAGATTCAACCATTTTCAATCATCAAATTGGTCAATTAAATTGCGTGAGAAAAATTTGAAAAAAATCCAGAATATTGAGCGTCATAAAAACTACATTTTGCACAGAATTGTGTTGTTTATAAATAAATAATTGAAATTTTTTCAACTTTTGAAACTTTATTTTTTTAGGCATTAAATCGATTTCTGGTAAAATTCTGAATATGAATAAATTGTTTACTACTCCGAACAATGATTTTTAAGGTAGAAAATTGGTTCTTCATAAATTATTTATAGAAAATGCTCGTAATTTTCAGAAATTGCACTTTTCAAAATATTTCATCAATCTTCCTCCAAAAGTAAACTTTAATTTTTTTTTTAGATTTTTAAAATGTTTTATAACGGTTCAATATCGAGATTCTATTTCAAAGTTACAAAGTTTAAATAATAAAGTCATTGTGAAATGTCCGGGAACTTAGGGTCAAATGGGATTCAAATGAAAGCTGTGATGTCCATTACAAAAGTAGAAAAGCATTTTGCTAGAAAAAAATAGCCAAAGTACTTGGATATCCTTAAATGGGATGTTGGAAGAGTTTGAACAATATCAGTTTAATTTCAAATTATGGACTCTCCCTAAAAATTGTAGATTTTTCACGCTCTTGACAATTCTAGTGAATGTGTGACAATCCTAGAATATGTCAGATACACATGGATTTAATGAATATAATATAATATATAATAATAATAATAATAATAATAATAATAATCTCTCTATATTATAAAATTCCAAATCGACTTCTGTTAAGACATGAAATGGTGATAATTTCTCAATTCGGCCCTGGGGTGACCTTGATTCGGCCCTGGGGTGACCTTGATTCGGCACGAGGGTCATAAAAGTGCTAAGGGTCACGAGGGTCATAGAGGTGGTAAGGGACATAATGGTTACGAGGGTCATAGAGGTGCCAAGGGTCATAGGGATGTCAAGGGTCATAAAGATTATAGAGGCTAAGGGTCATAAGGGGCACGGGGGTCTCAAGGGTCATAGGGACCCTAAAGGTCATAAGGGTCATAGAGGGGCTAAGGATCATAACGGTCACGGGGGAATCAAAGGTCACGAGGGTAATAGGGGTTCTAAATGTCATAGAGGTGCTAAGGATCACGAGGGTCATAGGAGTGGTAAGGGTCACGAGGGTCATAGGGGTGGTAAGGGTCATAAGGGTCAAAAATGTGCGAGACTTCATAACAAATCCAGCGGTTTTTTATTTTTCTTGATATTCCGCGTAGTTTTCGAGTTATATAATTTTTTATACAACACGCCGCGCTTCCATTGAAACCGTTCACCGGTGGGGTACTTCTGGACATTGAAGCACTATTAACGTGGTAAAATGAAGTCGTATTAGAAAATGTTTCAAACGAAAAAAGTGATAAAATGCATGATGAATCGATCGGCATTTGTTTTTTTGCGATGTTGTGATTCATTGACGAGATATGAATATTTCACTATGACGAGGGAACGCCCCGTGAAACGTGAATGCCAACGATATCGGTCCTATAAGTTTGACTGACATTACCATGGAGAAAATGGTCGCATTTGAAGTAATTTCAATCAAAAGTGTTTCAAAATTAATAAGGAGTAGAATGGCGTTTGATTTTCTCCAATATTGTTATAAATTATGTAGATATAGTCCTCTGAATGTAACTCCGAAAATGAAGAGTCCAGAGACTTGAGATTAAGGTACTTTGGAACGTACATTTTGACATTGACATGAGTACTGCTAGCATAATTTTTATTTATGATGGTTTTTTCCCCATACGGTTCATGTTTATAATTTATGACAGCTTGTTACCCCTCCATCCTAATCTGGCTACATAGGAGGCACAAATCTTACCTGTATATGCTTGAAAAATAATTTGTCCTGTATTCCGTATTGTTCATGTCTCACACTAGAGACATACAAAAATCCGTGTAATCATTGAAGATATTGATCGACATTCGTTTAATAATGTTCAGTAGACGTATTTATTAGAACTTGAAACTCTGATATTAAATGGATTTCTGTGATATTAAATGGAAATAATATTAAAATTTTATTATTAAGTGTTGAAACGTATGCATGGCGTACCTGAAATGTTTTTTTTCTCCTAATAAATCTATCGTATAAAGACGGAAGACCTTGTCCAACAATCGCAGATCTTATTCAATATGCGATCGATAATTCATATCAACAGCGAGGAAAACCAAATGTCATCCTACTCTTTTTCAATTGTGGAATACTTTTAATTTAAATTATTTCAAATGTGACCATCTTTTCAATGGTAATATCAGTCAAACTTATAGGGCCGATACCCGTGGCATTCGCGTTTGACGGGGCGTTCCCTCGTCATAGTGAAATATTCATATCTCGTCAATGAATAACAACATCGCCAAAAAACAAAGGCCGATCGATTCATCATGCATTTTATCACTTCTTTCGTGTGAAACATTTTCTAATACGACTTCATTTTATCACGTTAATAGTTCTTCAACGCCAGAGGTAGTCCCACCGGTGAACGGTTTCAATGGGAGCGCGGCGTGTTGTATAAAAAATTACGTAACTCGAAAACTACGCGGAATATCAAGAAAAATAAAAAACCGCTGGATTTGTTATGAAGTCTCGCACATTTTTTGATTGTACTTTTTTCGAGTACAAACAAAAATGGCTGCGTCAGACGCATTTTAACATTTAAATTGATAATAATGTTCATTTTGCGGTAAAATACAGCCGGAATACCAAAAGATTCGGATTCTACACCTCAAAATCTATAGAAAATGATTTTTTGCAAGACTTGACCGTCAAATGTATACTCAACCCCCACAGCGTATGGACTAATACACTTGAAAAATTAATAATCAGTTAGGTGTATTTTATTAATAATTGCATTAGTCATTTTTCGACAAACCGCGATTTTATGCTATGAATTTTAGATTCCTCGGTTTCGTGACAATTCTAGTGCATGTATGTGTGTGTGACATGCACTAGAATTATCTAGAACATGAGAACTCTAAAATTTTTAGCAGCCATCGGTCGACAATCATTACATTTGTAATATTTTGTGATATTATTAAAATTTGCATCTTTCTACTACTATGGTTATTTTATCATAATTGAAATTTTCAAATAATAAAATAATTCATAATTTAAATTTTCGATTAACTATTGAGTAAATAATTCTAAATTTCATAAAAGGATTTTGTCGATTAGACATGTAATGGTCAATCTTCTGACACGATTACTGGTTGATAGATTATTTCGGAATTTGAATATTCGACTGATGATTAATTTGGTAATTGAAAATTGTTGGGTAATATTATCAGTTAACATAAGCTAAATTCAACTTATTTTGAAATTGATGACAGTTCAGATTACTGATTTTTAGCGAATGGCCAAGATTTAATAACATTTAGTTGAAACTCTTCTAACATGTCTTTATTTATGCCACTGTAATTTGAATTACTTTCGTTAATTCGTGTTTTGAAGATATTCTGTGGAGCCTTCTGGTGGTTAATCGTTGGGGCTATTTTCTATTTCAGGGTGAAATTTGGAGTTCCACTCGATGAAGTCTGCAAGAACGATATTCCTGGTCCATTGTTGGTAATTATGAGATTTTTTGTTTAATGGGTTGATGGTAAATTGAGAGATAATTGGGATTATTTCGTTAATGATTAGTTTCGAGAGGCGATATGAGATTTTATTTTATTCACTTTTAGCTGCCAGAAGAGTCGCTACATTGTGTTCAGAGAGAACTTCCTCCTGAGATAAATGGATAGCAATTTTTCAGTTCCCTGGGAAATTTTTTTAATCAAAAAATTGTAGGTGGCTGTATCCTCGATACAGCTGTCATTGTACGTGGATACGTACATGGTCTTTCCTTCTTTCTCGAATTTTCTAGAAATCCTTGAATTCCTTCGAATTTTCTAGAAACTCCTTGAATTTTTTCGAAATTTCAAGAAACTTCTCGAATTACCCCAAAATGTCTAGAATTTTCTAGAATTCCAATAGATGGCGCTGCACATAAGAACCGTTTCCCAAAATGATCCCCCATATTGAAACCATAGACGTATCCATGTCAAAAATTTTGGAAGTACGTGGAGACATATTTTGTAGAAGATTCTGTGAAAAAGTTTCTTGAAGAATTCCTCTAAACTTCAGAGTCTAAAGCCACCACACCCAAATGAATCCTTCATTTGCATGGAGTTAATTCTATTTGAGTCAAATAGATAGTTTCTTAAATATAAATAAATGTTCCTTTGATCTAAATGCAGGTATTTTAGTTAGAATCGAAATCATTATTAAAACACCGAAGGAAATGAATTCTTCAATGATCTTTCATTTGAATTAAATAAATCGACTATTTGACATTAATATAAATTTATTCAGAATAAATGAATGACTCATTTATTTCATATGAATATAACATTTTCATTGAAATAAATATATGAGTTTCCTAATTTCAAAGAAAAATATTGTTTAAATGAATGTGAAATCCCTGCATTATCGGCCGGCTGCACGACTGAGGTTTTCCATGGTTTCCCTGGCAGTCGAATCCTGAATGGGGTGCAGTTGGGGATAAAGTAAGTCGGCCCATGGTAACGCAGATAGGGAAGGGAACAAAATGTAAAAACCCGAAAGGGTATACATATGGAATCAAAAATAAAAATTGTTTAAATGAATAGAAAAATGTCAAATACAGAGTTTTATTTGTCGTTCATAAAATGAATACATAATCAACAGCAGCTTTGCGTTATACTACATTTTTTTCTGATTAATGACGGGATTATCTCGTGTTCTAGGTCTAGAACATCTTATTTGTGAAGTATTTTCCGATTGACGAAAGTACTTCACAAAAAAAGTTACGTTAATTACATTAAAAAAAGTTACTTCACAAAAAAAATATTACAAAAAAACCGTAACAGTTTCTTCTGGAGACTCCAATTCTTATGTTTATCTTGAAAAGGAACAGTGTTGTAGAAAATGTCATAGAAGATGTTCAACGGAGATTTTAGCAAAAATTTTCCTTCGCTATTTGGTTTAAAATTACTTATTCTCGAGATAAATGAATAATTGATACCGGTTTCACGTTTATTTCAGCTAGACATCTAACAGAAATATTTTTTTATTTAATTTATGAGAAGGAAATGTTTAGAAGATTACTAATAGTCGAAGTGTAATTTAGATGATAGTGATTAACTACGAATTTTGTCAAATGCTTCTCACAAAATTTAGTTGGAAAATTCGAAAATTGAAAATATCCAAATCTACAGGTGTCCCGAAATGAAATGTCATTCTCGTGAGGGAGTTCGGAGGGCTCATTTGGAGATGAAAACTAATAACATTTTTCACTCCGACGTTTTGTTTAAGAGTTAGCAAATAAAAAAGGTACGCCAATCAAATGTTTTTCAACGTTAGAGAAATCATATCGTCTTCTTCATTCAATGCGGTCGGGCGAAGGTATTGGATGTCCTATCGATTCCAATCAATCTCATCTCTCGATATCGAAGGAGAGAGAAGATATGGATTTTTTATGTAGACTTTGATTTTCAGGGTCACATCGCGTGTTGGATCCAAATGGCTCTCACGTCACGGTGAATTTTGTCGCATTTTTTCTTATCCCGTTTTTACAATAGAGGATCAAAATTCATAATGAGCTATTGCGCATTGAATGCTCAATCGATTGCCATCTTTCCATTACTCCATCTCATCATTAACTCTTAAATAAAGCGTCCGAGAGAAGAACGCTATTAGAGTTTTCGTCTCCAAACGAACCCCCCCAACTACCCTTATGAAGATGACTTTATTTTGGGACACCCTGTACAGTGCAGTCGCATCTATTGTCAGAAATAAATCTACTTTAAGAACTATTCTACACTGTTGAAAATTTTTGTCTGAAATTTCCGGTACACTTTTTGAAAATTTTTATCGAATTTAATTACCACTGAAATTTCAAGGAATTTCGTCATTGAAAATTCAAAATTTTGAGAGAACTGTGAATTTCAGTTTCATTTTTCTTTGAAAATAAATAGAAAGCCAGAAAATTCCGGTAAAATCACTGAATGCGATTTAGGGGGAAAAATCATAAAATTTCACATTTCACTGAAAATTCAATGCAATTTCGTACTGACTGTTCATATTAGATTAGAAATGCCAATAAATCAAGGAATTCTCGTCTTTATGCTGCTTAAAATTCCGGAATTTTACTGAATTTTCAGTGAAACCTGAAATTTCATGATTTTTTTCCCTAAATCGCATTCAGTGTCGCTGTCCTGAAAATTAGTAGTCAACTCTCCATGGAATTTCATTTTTTTTCTAACAGTGTAGTCCCCGGAAAGATTTCTTGATAATTTCTTGGAAAGAACTTATTAGCGAAATGATTTAACAATTAACGTCTCCATTTTAAGTATTGTACATATAGTTTCATAAATGAATCAACCATCAATTGTGATTTTTCCTGATGAAATGTCCAGGTTCTTATTCTAAAACTCAATAAAGAGGCCCCACACCGGAAGGATGTATTCCGAGCGCCAGGACATCAGGGCAACATGAAGAAATTGATACATTTTCTTCAAACCGGGCGATTAGTTAACATTGACAACTTCAGTGTTTACACGATAGCCAGTGTGTTGAAAAAGTTCTTGCGTAAAATACCTGGCGGAGTGTTTGGACGCGAGGGTGAGCAGCAATTGTTCACGGTCATACAGCTGGACAGTATCGAGCAACAACGGGACCAGATACATAAGTAAGTTCAGTCATTGAAATTTCCAACAAGTGTGAAGATTGATATTAAGGCTGTTCGATACATTTGTAAGAATCACATTTTTTTATTTTCATCAAAATCGAAAAAAATTTGTAATGTCTTTGGCTGATAGACGAACTTATAAAACTCGCTTTTTCGATGATTGAGAATAATTAGATGCAATAGTTTTGAAAAATTGAAATGGACAATACTTGCTTCATTCGCGGGCCTCTCTCAGATTGAATTTTTATTGATTAGGCGGGACGCGCGCGCTAGCCAGGTGGTATGAGATCAATATATGTCGTCATTTTTTAAATTCTAATTCCCCTGATCTAATACGTTGTATAACAACAAATACCCGTTGAAATGGTATATGAATAGTTTCATCCACGTGATCAATAATTATAGAAAAACATCAAAAAAACATAATGAAATTTTGGATAAAAACTCCCATCTGTCAAGGAAAATTAGCCTAAATCAAGTAATTCAAGGGTCAATTTCAAGGTAATTTAATATATTCTCACTTGGGCATAACATATCTCTACAGATTTGAGCAGAAACCGAACAAATCTCGTCATTTGAAGAATAAACATGGAAATTTTCAAAAAGTGACATGCTAAAATCGTTATATTGTCGCTTATAACAATTTATCTAGTGGATGGAATGGATAATGTGAGATCTTAATTTCTGGCACTCGATAAGACCTGGAAATCGACACATGATATATTCTCGCTGGTCAAGTCTAAAGCCTCGATAAATGGCAAAAACTATCATTTTTGGGGGTGCGACAAAACGTAAAAAATGAAAACAATCTGCTATAGCTTGATGAAAATTGAATTAAATCTCATTTAGCATATACCATTTTGAAGAATAGTGAATGCTCTTCAAAGTGATACGTAGCGATACCTGCCTAGTCGGCTCCACGGCAAAATATCACATATCAAAATATCACCGGCAAAAAATCAAGCCTCAAAATATCACGAAACAAAATATCACCGGTAAAAAATATCACAAATCAAAATATCACACACAAAAAATATCACAAACCAAAATGATCATAAACAAATTTTAAAAACACAAATTACGAGGGTACATGAAGAAAAACTTTATTGATACACCGCAATTATTCATGACCTCAAAACATGTGGGAAAAACCCAGCAGTGTTCACATACCGAAAATGGAATTAAATAGCCGTATTGTGGTAATGAATTATCGGAGAAAGAAAGAATTACATGGCCGTGTTCACACACGCGACGAAAAATCAAGAAAAACCATTGAAATATCATTGAATATATTGAAAATTAAAAAAATTAATTAATATTATTGAAAATTTAAAAATTACATGATATGATATGACTGATATTTTGCCGTGATGCCGCCTAGTTCACTTAGGAGCATCGAAGGGCATCACGGCAAAATATCAGTCTCAAAATATCACCGCAAAATATCACATGAAAAAATATCACATGGATAAATATCATAATATGAAAATATCATTTGTGATAAATATCACTTTTTAAAATATCATATCATATCATATCATGTAATTTTTAAATTTTCAATAATATTAATTAATTTTTTTAATTTTCAATATATTCAATGATATTTCAATGGTTTTTCTTGATTTTTCGTCGCGTGTGTGAACACGGCCATGTAATTCTTTCTTTCTCCGATAATTCATTACCACAATACGGCTATTTAATTCCATTTTCGGTATGTGAACACTGCTGGGTTTTTCCCACATGTTTTGAGGTCATGAATAATTGCGGTGTATCAATNTTTGTTTATGATCATTTTGGTTTGTGCTATTTTTTGTGTGTGATATTTTGATTTGTGATATTTTTTACCGGTGATATTTTGTTTCGTGATATTTTGAGGCATGATTTTTTGCCGGTGATATTTTGATATGTGATATTTTGCCGTGGAGCCCATCGAAGTATCCAACCAAATTCAATGTTAGCCTAAAACTCTCATAAGGTAATGGAAAATTGGCACAATTGAACAAATCAGCTCTCACTTTAAAGCTTATTTCATAAGCTTCTAATTGAGTACATTAAATGTGTGGTTTATGAAAGAGGAAGAACTTGAGCATAGAAACCAAAGGAAAAATCTGGGGTACGGATACGGATTTTTCCATAGGGAATAACCCACCTCCTAGAAGACTTAGAAAATTAAAAATAAAAATAGTGGGAAATATGCAAGAAATATACTGAAGCGACGGCCACTGGAAAATTTTCGGTACCGAGGCAAATAATGGAGATGTTGAACAATTCAATATTATGCACGCATTTGATGCATTTTCTCTATTCTACTTCTGAATATTTTAATTACTTTATTTGAGTCAGTATTGTTAAAATTATTATCATGGAGGAGAGAACTCTCTCCACTAGCTAACGAACATAATTTTTTTTACGAACTGTCATTTTGAACGGACATCTTTCATGTTCCTATAATTTCAGATTTTGTCCGAAATCGTTTGTATCCAATGATGATTTTTCAAATTGATTCAGTTATGGCTTAAAATGGAATATTCCGTCACAAGAGTGAAGACAATTTTTCTGAAAAATATGAGGTTGCAGGACGAACCGACGGCGAGTTCTGCTTTCATATTCTCCAGAAAATATTTTTTGACCGAGTGGCGAACAATCGTTTTTCTCACGACGGTCATGAGCGACTTTTTGGAAGCGCAGATTAGGTGAAGCGAGGCTTCACCAACGGAGTGACCGAAAATTTGCTTCAATGTCACCCTCACCTGATTCCAAGATGATGCCAATAGCAATATTTGTTAGTTCAAATATTAAATATCATATATTTAGAACAGAACATTATAAAAAATAAAGCTAAAATCGAAAGGACAAAAACCATTTTTCGTTTGAATATTTGTAGTTATGATTAAGGTCCCGGTGGATTATCTTTCGAACCTTATCTCGATTGTTTTTCCATCTTCATAATGTAAAATATATCACAATTTCCATTAGATTGCACATCACGCAGGCGTCCTTATAAATTATGATTGTACCATCAAAAAAGTAGAAAAAAAATTGAACATTTTCAAAGAGCGTTTTTAATAAAGATTAAGAAATAAGTCCGATTGAGAGGAAATATTGAATGGATAATTTATCATGGTAACTAACGATCTGGTAGCCGTTTGCTACTGTGACAAATGACGACCTAACAGCCATTAGATTGATCAAATTATTAATTTGTGTATTCAAAACACGATCCAATAGCATTCAAAAACGCTCTTTGAAAACGTGCAGCTTCTTTTCAATTTTCTTTTAATTGTACAATCATAATTTTTGGAGACTCGAGAGCTATGTAAAACTGAATAGCAATTGGAGATCATTTCAGATTATCTAAATAAATAAATAAATGAAGATCACGTTCGAAAGATGACCCACCCGGGTCTTAAATCTGAAATAAGTGAATTTGTCATGGTAGAATAAATGATATAATCAAAAAGTTCTGTCCAATATATCCATTGCGAAGCATATTACGGATTTGCATAATATGCTTCACAATATGATAATGCAGTAGCAATTATGCACTTGTTTTTCTTGGGCAGATTAATCACTTCATTGCCAATATACACCCAACGCCTGCTGGTGTTACTCTTCGGGACGTTTAGGGTAGTTGCAGTAAATAGTGAACGAGCAAGAACTGGAATGTCGAGTGAAGCACTCGGCGTTTCTGTCGCACCCTCGTTTTTCCAAAGCTGTGTGAGTGACGGAAAAACTGCCAAAATGGAAGATGTCTTGAGGTTCAAGGTAAGAAATCATTCAATCGTGTTGATGGAAATGAAATTCAGTGGTGAAGTGTTGAAATAATGAGTCAATTTCACTTGGAAATGTACGTTTTTCTGGAAAAATCTCGAAATCAGAGGGCGATAGCGAATTTTTTGTGCAATATGACAAAATCTACGAAAAAAAAGTTCCTTACACGGAGAGAAATTCTTTATAAAAATTCTAGTGCTAGCATGGGAAATTGGGCACAAAGTGACGACCAGAGAAAAATTCCAGTGCCGACACTGGAAATTTTATTGAGCAGCACGTGAATTTTTTCCGTTCTTACATAAAATTTTCACAGAAATCTCCGGAAATGCCCAGATTTCCTATCGCAAATGCACTACAATTTTTCAATTCTACTATCTGCCTGAGATAAGAAGATATCCGGATTCTCCAGTTGAGTTGACTTATCGGACTTTATCGCTTTGCTACTGAATTCATGTTTAGAAGAAATCAAAATTTTGCGCTTCAAACACAATTGGCTGCAAAGTGCTGAAAACTAATGCTTATTCATCACATTCATTGAGCCACTAAATCCACATTATTCATATATTGTTAATAAGTATGAGGGAACAACTAATCGCAATTCTGAATCGTGAAATTATCATTAAATTTCATGATGAATTTCAATCCATAAAGATCTAAGTGGGAAGTGTTTTTGAATGAATGAATTTGTTAGAAAGTTTATGAATTAATTGCTCATGCAATTAGTACTAACTGCTAGGCTTTGTTCTTTTATTCTTGATAATTTCAAATATATCTTATCGGAGATATGGGAGATGAATTCAAAACATACTAGTAGGTTGATTTCGTAGGTATCTTTGGGAGGAAGACATACATGGAGAAAAGAATCTATTAAAAGTTGCCCCTGAATTTTAATAATGGAGTAGCGTAGTAGCCTTTCTTAAATTCTTACAATTTTATTTGAAAAATGCTAAAAGTTGAACAAAAATTCAAATAATTCACGCAAATAATTCAAGTATAAATTCTACTGTAATTTATGCCAGAGTGATTGTCTTTCCACTAGAGTTCTATGAAAAACTTCTGAGTTCCAATACCAAATGATTACTAAAATTCCGGGGTAATTTAGAACTTTTTTGACATGACAAAATTGAATAGAAAAAGCTAGCGAATTTGTTAGGAAATTCTATTGGATTTCTATTAAATTTTCTATTAGTTTTTGGCCGATTCTATTGAAATGTTCAATAGAAAAAATCAACAGAATTCTATTTTTCTATATAACTAGTTCTGTTCAGGTATTTTCTCTAGAATTTCCTCGGCTCAAATTTTCCAAGTTTTTTCCATTCTGTTTTTTTTCTTCTCATCAAGAAAATAAAACAAAAAAACTTGGAAAATTTGAGCCAAGTAAATTCTATAGAAAATATCTCATTAGATTAAGTTATATAGAAAAATCGAATTCTATTGACTTTTTCTATTGAATATTTTCTATTGAACATTTCAATGGAATTGACCAAAAACTAATAGAGAGTTCAATAGAAATCCAATAGAATTTTCTAACGAATTCGCTAGATTTTTCGATTAAATTTTTTCATCCGTGATCTGGAAAACTAAATCTGCAGAGAACAGAGTCTCAGAGGAATTCATCAGCGGACCTTTTCATAGTTTTGACAACTCTCAAATTTTAAGAGAACTGTTTTGCAGGCAATTTTATGGTTTTCGAAAAAGATCCAAAAAATTTCCTTAAAACCTAGTAATTTCAGAGAAATTTACTCAATAATCTATTAATTAAGATCTGCGGCGTCATCTCTTTTTTCATAGTAAAATTGAATGGAATATTCAAAGTGAGAGAGGAGTTTATACAAAACAAAAATGATAAGGAAAAATTATCCTCTACTGAGGGCAATTAACCTTGTCTTAAGGATATTTCTGCCTTTTTATCCGGGGGAAGAATTGTGTATTTATTTTTTTTTTTTTGAAGAATTGTGTAGATGATTCACTATTTTTTCGGTGTAAATCATCTGTGAAAAGGGATGTATCACTCCTATTTACGGATGATCTATCCTGTCTTGGTATTTATAAATAACCCTTAGAACGGGGTTATCACATCCCAAAGAAGAAAAGGGTAGAATATCCTAGAGAGATTATTGATTTTCCTTTATGGTTTTCTACCATCTCATCTGCATAAATCATTAACAAAAAAAAGCATGTGCTTATCAACCTCGATGTTATCACTTCTCTCAATATTCTGTGTTTGCCTACTGTCACTGCCAGGCGGAAGTCTCCGTAAGTTTTCAAGTACTAACATCGTTTATCTCGCGGAAATGCATGAAAGAGAAACAAAAAATTATCATAATCCATCTACTAATGAACAGATAAAGAAACTGCATATAGCTTCATAGTTTCGCTTTCTTTTATATAATTCAAGTTTCTCAGTTTTCTCGTGAAAAGCAACACGATTTCACTTTTTTTTTCTCTTTTATTCAACTCAGGTTGCAACTCGAGTTATGAAATTCATGATTGACAATTTCGGTGTGTCGAATTTGTTTGGACGTGAGAACTACGAATTCTATGCGAGAATCACTGGACGAATACTGAAGGTCGACGAGGACTGGATATTTAGTTTTAGATATCCGCCGGATTCTCTTGTATCAAGTATGTATGAAGACGTTATAATTTTATTTTTGCTTCCGAATAGAAGCTTTATAATCGGCCGATTTTTCGATTCTCTAATTTTGCATGGAAATAACTTAGAATGTCGTGAAACGTCGGAATATGATGTTTTCAGAGAATGTATGTGTGTACAAAATTCTGGAAATTTTGTAATAAATTTTCACAGAAAAAGAACTAGAGTGATAGATAAAAATCTGAAATTTTGGCTCATAATTGGTATTCTTTGGGAGCACATCTAGACGAAATTTCAGCTTAATCGGTCCAGTAGTTTTTGAGATACAGCGATTCCAAAAAATGTTTCCTTTCTCAATATCTCGAAAACTACAGCATCAAATGTCAAAATATTCCTTACAATAATAACTATCGAATCAGACCATAATATGCCTACTAACTATTGCGACTCGCTCAGTAATTGACATTTTTCATTTTTGTGATAAAATTGACGTGAACACGATAACGCTTGAAAAAATTGAGATAGGAATTTGAGATTTGGCAGGATTCTAGCTCTTATTAAAGAAATTGAATGTTCTGAAACATAATGATTCCTTCTTGAACTCCTCAGGATTGAATATTTGAAGAAGTGATGTAAAACGTTACCAATAGTACCTAAAGAATTATTTTGTAAACACATTTGTATTTTTGTCATTCTTTTATAGCAGAATAAACTACATGGTTTGGATGCTAAAAAAAATTCTAGCTTTTACTATATTACACGCTGGGATTTCAGATGGGCGAGATGGAATGAGTAGTTTTAAAGATATTTTTTGGCATAAAACTATATTGTTCAATGTCCCAAAAATTATTCATCCAATTTCAAGTTTTTTTCCAAATATTCGTCTCGATGTCTCCTATCTAGTTCTTTCCAAATATACATACTCGTTCCTACAAAGTTTACGAGATACTGGCGGTTTTGTATTTTTCTTGGCTGAAAGTTGCTTTGACGTTTCATTACATGAGTGAAGGATGTGGTAAAATTCCAAAATGTTGAGGACTAGTTAGTATCATCGAGTTCCACTCCCGTGTTAATTTCAGATTTATCGATTCAATACTTTTTGAAATGGCGCAGTTGATGTAATAGTATATTTCTAACCTAGGGAGGGAAAATAAAGGATCCTCAGCCGCCAGTGCAATTACCAGCCGAGCCGAAGGCGAGGTCGGTAAGCACGCGGTTGAGGGTCCTTTATTTTACTTCCCGTGGTTAGAACGCGATTTTCCGCCTCGGCGTAGGCGCAAAGTCAGAGTTCCCTCCCGCGAAGCGGGAGGGAAATGTAACTTTGCGCCCGCCGGGACGGAAAAAACGTTTTCACATAAAATGACATGTCAGTGTTCTATCACTGTTTTTAATATGGAAACATGTTTTAAAAGTAGCGCCGCATAGATATGCCTATCCCTCTAGATAAAACCGAAATTTAATTCTCAATTTTAGAAGGTCAAACGTTTCGAGGACACGTTTTCAGTAAAAATTGCCACTTTTCAATTGAAAAATGAAATTTCTACGGATCCATTCGGAAGCTTACTACCAATGGAATTGGTAGAAACAATGCTTGTTTTTTTTGTGGAAAAAAGATTGTCTATCAAATAACTTTTATTGTTATATTCCGGCATACGAATCTAAAACTGAACATTCAATGCTGTTTTTTTTTTTTCTTCCAAAATTAGTTATGTTGTCTCATTTTCCCGTGCAAGCATTATTCCAATTTATTTGTTTTTATTTTCTTCAGGACAACTATCACTAGAAGCAGAGAAAACATGGCTGCAATATGAATGCGAACGATGGGGACTGAAATTCAATTTGGAATGTAAGTATTATAACTTAGTTTTTTTATAATTTCGTTACCTGGCATTTTTTTGTTGAACGAGATTGAAGACGCGCTCCGCGCGCCTGATTATTTGATAGATTTTATATGATTCATCACGCTATTATTCAAGTTGATTGGAATCAATATGTTCTTTCACGTATACGACTTTCTATAGTATTACTGAGGAGAAATTTGTGGGAACCGATGAAAACTTCTATTGAAAATCCATGATTTTTTTTTATTGCAAAGGGATGGAAAAAGCTATGAAAACTTGCATTAGAAAGCGAAGGATTTTCCATAGAAATCTATCGAAACTTCTATTAAGAGTCCTTGAAAAATTCGTCGAAATCCATGAAAACTTCAATTGAGAATCAATACTCATAATCATACTCCGTTGGTAATCGCCAACACCAACATCAGGACCATCAGTAAGATCAACATTAACAACAAAATCGGTATCGTCATTATCATGTATGTGATTTCTCTTTCAGATATTTAGGAATAAACGTGTGACATCTCCTTTTTATATAATATAAAATAATGAAAAATCAAAATTGAGAAAAAAAAATTTAGAGGTTTTATTTTGCTTTAAAAAAATCAATAAAATGAATAAAAAATGAAGTTGCATGTAATTGAGGAAAATCTGCAATATGACGTCATAATGCAGATGTTTTCAGTTGCCTATGACTCGGTGATTTTTTATTATTTAAGAAAATGAAAAATTACGTGTGTAATTTCTCTGATTTGACTTTAGTATTCAGCAACAGTCAAATTGCATACCAAACTCCAAATATTAGGAATACGGCACTCGCCAAGGGCGAGTAGTACTCTCCCAAGAGTCAAAGAACACTTGTCCCACGAGCATGCATAAATTTCACTTTACACACAAGTGATGAAATATACAATTTTGACCCGAGTAAGAATTGTTTAGTCACTGCCGTTTTTCTCTCAGTGTAGTGAATTGAATATTTTGTTCTTTCATTGAGACATTTGAAGAAATTAAATTGTATTTGGTGGCTCAAGATCTGTGACTGGGAGTAGAATCTGAGGGTATATAAGGTTCTTTGAAAAAAATTTAGAGCCGGGTCAATTTGACCCAGCCTGTAGGTCCAGATACGCGGACTCTCCAACACCTCAGGCCGAGCGCTGCCGGGTATCTATACACGAAGTAACTACCCCGTCCACTGCCTTCAGATCATGCCTATTCAGTCAGTCCTATCGTAAAAAGGAGAAAGGAAATCGATCTCTAAATATCTCGAAAATCTCGAATAAGCGTAAGCGTAAGATTGAAACCGCAGCCCCACTACGCGAGGAGATGAGAAAACGCGTGCGTAGTACGCGCGGCCGATCTCGTAAAATAAAAACGAAACAAGTTACATGGAAATAACTATTTTCGTCACATGGTCGAAAAAAACTTTTCTGACGAGTGTTGCAGGCCGAGGCGAAGTCGAGGAATGCAATCACACGAGTCAGAAAAGTTCTTTTCATGACGCTGTGCGAAAAAGTAACTTTTTAGGTAAAAGTAACTTTTTAAAACGTCCCTTTTTCACACATTGTGATGAAAAATATCGTTCGATACTCGTGGGAAAAGTGTTATTTGCCTTCGGCTCGTGCTATAAACCTCCCACGAGCCAAAAAACTCTTTTCCGCACTCGTAACGAAATATATTATTTCAGCCGAGTGACGAACATAATTTTCGTCATTTCGACCGTAAGGCAGCTAAGCGCTTTACGAACGCTACGCGTAAAATAGTATATTTCCCACCAAGGGAGGGAAAATAAAGGAGTCCTGCCCACGTGCAGAATGCGAGGGTGGTAAGCACGTGGGTAAGGGTCCTTTATTTTACCTCCCGTGGTGAGGACGTTATTTTTCGTCGCGGCGTAGGCGGAAAGGCAGATTTTCCTCCCGCTTCGCGGGAGGAATGTGGCCTTTCCGCCCACCGTGGCGAAAAAAACTTTTCTAGCTCATATGATTGCAACCCTCGCCTTCGGCTCGGGCTATAAACTTATATTTGCCAGAAAAGTTTTTTTCGGCCTCCCGAGTGGAAATTCTGTTCAGGTCTCGATCAGAAACTGATCAAGTCCGATCCGAAATTCTAATCAGGCATGTTACGCCTCTGCCTTAGGTTTTTCCACTAGGGCTAATGATGAAACATACTATTTTTTCACAATGTCCGTAAACGGCGTTTGGCGGACAAGAAGTGGCCCACATGTTGAATTACATGTGGGTTTGATGAACACGACGTTTTACGGATAGTGTGATGAAAATACCCTTAGTAATATCGTATAAATCCCTTACAAGTTTTTAATTGTGCCCACTTTTTTGTTGAAGTCAATATTAAGAAAGTTACGCGCATAGCAACGAGTTGCTATCTTCATTTTCGCATTTCACAATATCTCCGAGCCCTAAGTGTGGGTATCGAAATTGGTAGCAGAGTGAACCAGCCTCGCGTGTGATGGAGGGAGAGAGAAAGAGTATGCTATTCTTTCTCTCTTCTTGTACTGCACTCATTTTGGTCCGACTCATTTACTTATTGTAAACGCAACATAAACATGAAAAATGAGGTGATCTGCAAGGGTATTTTGCTTTTTGTGAGAAAATTTTTCCGTTTTCAAATAATTAATGTTATTAATTAAATTCATGAATTAACTGTGGGCAAGTATATTTCCGGGGTTTGTAGACAAACCCAAAATCAATTATTTCCTCGCTTTGCAAAAATAAATGAAACCTTCCTAAAAAACAAAAATAATTATATTTTTGTAAAAAACACTGCGCTATGGAAAATTTGTCTTTGGTTTCTCCTGGAAATGAGGAAGACAATTTTCTACAGAAATACAACTTCCATAAAAAACGCGAAGAAAGTACAGAAACCAATGAAAATAAGCCAAGTCAGGACTGAATAAAAAATCAGTAAAGATAGAACCAACAATAGAAACATTCTTAGCACGGAGTTTTTATAACACTGCCTAATATCAATCTAATCTTTCATGTTCTGACCCGCGCCAAGGACGTTCGTTCTATCTTTACTGATTTTGTATTGAGCCCTCACTTGGCTTATTTTCACTGGTTTCTGTATTTTTATAATGTTTTTTATGGAAGTTGTATTTTTGTAGAAAATTGTCTTCTTCATTTCCAAGAGAAACCAAAGAAAAATTTTCCTTAGCGCAGTGTTTTTTACAAAAATAATTATTTTTGTTTTTTAGAATTAGGGGTTCAGAAACTTTCCTAAAACTGATGTTTTAATTTTCTTCTTGTCATCAGCAATGTCACATCAGGAAGAGTCTCAATCGACCCCCGCACTGATCCACGTCCCAGAAACTATAGAGCTGACGTCATCCCTGGGAATGATCCCAGAGAACACCCTCCTGGAGAGTTACACAAGACTGTCAGTGAGCCTCGAGGAAAACGGTCTCTTTCAGGTAATAAAATTCTTAGAGAATGCTCAACTCGCACGAAAAAACAACAAACTAGATGAACTGCATAATCTGTTGTTACACTGTTTCAAAAGAATGCATTCTGAATTGCAGAATCCAAAGCAGTTATGAAAATTACCCACCACTGAGGAATTTTAAACAGAATACTGTAACAATAAGATACAATTCCTCTTCAATGTAATTTACTTGATGAATATCGCTGAATGTAAAGAAAATATACGTATTTTTTGGAAGACCCTTTGTTAAAAATTTCATCATTCTCCTGGAATTCGGAGATATTAATTCAGCCTCATGTGATATTGAGTCATCTTGTTTCTTCACTGAATCATAATCCCCATAAATTGGAATTAGTCGTCCTTTTATGAAGAGATCTTATGGAAATCTTGCAGTTCACCACGAATACTCATAATTTTCCTTGGATAAAACTCAACTATACTGTAATTCATAAATATCTATTATCTATTTACCACCAATAATAATTTCATTTTCTAAGCATTTCAGAAATAGGCGTCATTAAGTTAAATCTCCAAATCTCAACTATAAAAGAGGCGTTTTGTCACTGTTATTCTGCACATTTTTTGGAAAATTTTGAAAAAAAAGTTGTGTATCTCAAAGATTGGGCACATTAAACCGTTTTTGCTTCCGGATGAAAGCCTTATTTTTGACCGATTTTTAGATTTTCTAATTTTGATTGCAAATGGTCTAAAATGTTATGAAACGTGAGAAAATGATGTTTTTAGAGTCATGTTTGTATCTATGTATCCAACAACTTTGGTTTTTGGTGATTAATTTTTAGACAATTCAACATAAATACGGTGAAATTTGTAGATAAAAATCAGAAATTTTGGCTCATTGGAGCTATTATTGAGCTAACTTTGGCGTGCTGTTTCAACCCGATCGGTCCTGTAGTTCCTGATATATAACAACTTGTTTAAATTTTAGTTTTCTTCAATATCTCAAAAACTACCCCACCGATTTCAAATTTTTTTTTTCAAAATACTCGTCTCGATGGCCTCTATGTAAATCAATCAGAATATATAACCTCTTTGACACACAGTTTAGAGATATTGCCGTTTTTACATTTTTAATGAAAAATCTTGTACTCACGATAACTTGAGAAAAAAAGGAGCTAGCAAGATGAAATTTGGTAAGATCCTAGCTCTTATAATACTAAAGGTTAATATTTTGGATAGGCGCAATCGGATGAACAATTTCGGAGATATTTAACCTTGCGTATAAATCTTTTTCATTAAAAGGTTGAACATTTTCCTGTAGACACCCGGTAGCATATGGTTACGGTTGTATACCTGTCAGAAGGATAGGGAATTGCTACGTATCCATTCGGAAGCTTACTACCAATGGAGTTGGTAAAAATAAAAAAAAAGAAAGACTAATGGCACAAAAATAACAGTCACATGCCTTCTGTCGGATAGGCTCGAACCCCTGCTGGTTTTTCTCAAATTTTCGGACATTTACAAAACTTTAGAAAAAACGCAAGAAAATAGTTGGAAAATGATAAAACTTCGTGAGTCATTGAAATAAAACGCAAAAACGGTATATTTTGTCGCGTTAATTCCACCAATTTCCTGGAAACATAAAAAACCTTGAAAATTTACTGAAAGGGGGCAACAGATTATTTAAAACTTCTAAGAACCTCTCTGACTTCTGCAAATTCCAAGTTATCTATCATCAAAAAGCCATTAATTTTTCTCAGCTCCTCTAGAAGCAAAACTAATACATGAATATGATTCCAGGCATCAAGTAGATCCTCAAGCAACGGTAGTCATCATTCACGCCATGGAGACATAATGACACTAGACGAACTGAGGGCAGTTAACCGTTATGCTGAGAGCACAAAGAGCCTCAGTTATCTGCCACAGGTAAAAATTGGCGAAGTTTAACGATCATCCCACCGAGAATAATAAACGAGCCCATGACATTATGAGAGAACACCATTTTAGGACACGAGAGGTTTATTGTGGTCCCATGTTCCCGGCTGAATTAACATAACTAAAATAGAATGAAAAATAAAAAGAGAATTGAATAGAATGTGTGAGATTAAAAAAAAGATGAATGTCAACTCTTATGACGACTCTCAGAGCTCAACACGACACTTTATTATCGATCTGCATTCCAAACACTATAACAGTATATCATTCGAACTCGTATCACGATGATATTACGCAAACAAGACTGCATTTTTCAAATGAATGCCATATGTTGTTCTGTCACCACAATCATTGTAGTATTTATCGATTTGTATTTGTTCGATTTTTTGTCGATTATTATTTTTTCCATCTAAATTTATGTATTATTTATTAGTTATTTTTTATTAGTATTGATTATCTTCATCTGCATGACAAGTTTATATCCAATTAATCAGTTTTATAACAGTTTTTTCTTTCTTGTTAATCCATGTACTGTAATTCATACTGTTATTGCCATATATGATTTTTGCATTATTGATAAATTACCCTGAATAATAAACTGATTATTCTTCAAGCATTTTGCACTTTGTCATGATTGATGTGGAATTCATGTGACCCGAATGAAGATTATTAGTTCATTGATAAATGATTCTAAAAGAGGTGAATATTTGTGATGGATTCAAGGTGCACGAGAGGCAAACCGCACGAATGCGCACCCGGTCTGAGTGGTTTTTGACACCCGTTGGGGAGAGATTAGCTGGAACTGATAGCGATCCAACTGCTATACACATTCTTAGGGGATCCAATCGCTCGTCGTCGGGAAATATCGGTAAGAAAGTGATACGGGGCAGGGGTGTTATTGATTTAGTGGGATTTGTAGGTGTATTGAACGTGGGGATTTTTTTTTTCATTTTCATGGGTTTTAATCACGTATGAAAAAATCCTATAGGATTTCCCATAGGATATCCTAGAGGTTTTTCTATAGGAATTGCCATAGGAAATCCAGTGGAAAATTCGAACATTTCCTATAGGATTTTTCAGATAGGGGAGGGCGGAACAAATTGAAACATGGGGTAAAATGGAATAGCCGAAAAACAACTATTTGCCGCAATTCACGTCAAAAAAAAATTTATTCGTATAATACTTCAGTTGATGACAAATTAATTGATTAAATTAGGCTGATTACATTTTTTTTTCATTCGATTGAAATTCACTATCGCACTTTCCTTTTTCCCCCTCTGGGTCTCCCCCTGAGCCTTCCTCTGGACTTTAGATTTTGCTGTTTCATTTTCTTTTCAATTAATTCATTGCCAAAATCTCCGGTCAAAACTTGTCAATAATTTTCCATTCTACTGAACGGAAAATTATTATTTTAATCAGTACTCCCAATAATGAAAAAAATTAATAAACAAAAATTAGTAAAAAAAATAATTGATGAAAAACATTTTTTTTGCTTAAATTGCATCAAACAGTCGTATTTTCAACTGTTTAATTTTGTCCCACTGTTTCCCTACATTAGCAACAGTAGAGCAATTTGCCCTACTCTCCTCTAGGATTCCTATAAGATTTTCAATAGGATTTTCTATGAAATTTAAGGTCATGTGGGGTCATATAAGGATCATATAGAAGTCATATGGAAGTCATATAAGGGTCATATGGAGATCAAGTGACCTTCGTGGCCCTTATATCACCCCATGTAATCCCTATATAACCCCCATGTGAACCCTATATGATCCCTAGATGACATCTATATAACTCTTATATGACTCCCGTATGACCCTGATATAATTCCCATATGACCTCCATATTTCCCTTATATGTTCCTTTTATGACCCCCACATGATCCCCATATGACATTATGACCCTGAATTTTACAGGAAATCCTGTTGAAAATCTCACATGAAATCCTATGGGACATCCTACAAAAATATCTGGAAAATCTTATAGGAAATGTTCGAATTCTCCACAGGATTTTGCTACAGCATATCCTATATAATCCTATTAGATTCCTCTTATATATCGATCGTTGGTTGATCGATGGTCGATCAATCGAACCGTGATCGACTAGCACTCGACTGCGTGAACAACTTGAATCCCCTATCGAGCGATCCGTCAGGGGACTTGCGCCCATCCAAAGTTCGCGCCTCCTTCTCTTCTCTGAGGGTCACAACAAATAGAGCTGCGGGACAGCCTCGATTTTCAGACATGCACCGACCACTCGCGTTCTAATGCGTAATTCTTGTTTCAAACAATAAAATATGATCACTAAACGTCAAATGAACAATTTTCAATTAATTTTAGGCATTGGAATTATTTATTATTAACAATTAAATTGTTCAAATCGCCCTAGCACCCAAGCTATGAAGTATAGACGAAAATTTTCAAATCATGAATCATCTAGAATTTAATAAGAAATAATTTTGGTCTATTATCAATTTTACGTATCTCTCGTAGATTCCGAGATATGAGCAATAAACTACTTGGGGCGCGCGGTGGGCTGGAGGGCGCGGTGTTGGGTCACGCAACTCTTTCCTTGTTCATATCTCGAATTCTAAAGGAGATATGTGAAAGTGAGAAAAAACAAAAATTATTCCTCATGAAATTCTAAATGATTCGTGATCCGAAAATTTCCGTATATCTTGGATAGTTTGGGCGCTAGGGCGATTTGAACAACTAAATTGTTGATAATAAATAGTTGCAATGCCTAAAATTGATTGGAAATTGTTTACTTGACGTTCCGTGATCCTAGTTCATTGTTCAAAAAAAGAATTACGCATTATAACGCGAGTGGTCGGTCGGTCAATTTAGAAGCGCTTTTTTGGGAGGTGTCCCGCAACTCTAAAATATCAAGAACTGTCAGCTTTATTCTGAAAAAATCCAGGGACTTTCAAATTCCACAGCGATCTTCCTTTGAAGGAAAGTCCACAAAAATTGGATTCTAAGGATTCCCTTTTCGTGGTATAAATTAAAAAGAGAAAAACTAAAGCAAACAGATTTACTCTTTAATCCCAAACTCTAATTATGAATAAAAATGATTAGCAACAGGTCTGAGTGCCAGTGCAGAGTCTGTAAAACGTCCGAGTCTGCGTCGAACAGCTTCGAGAGAGAAATCCCGTTTGCACCGTAGCTCATCCCGCCGAAACAAGGAGAACGGTGCAAAGTGTCGAAGTGACTCGGGAAAATCGCGCTCTCTAGAAGCAATGAAGATGAAGAGAGTCTCCCTGGACCTACCAGCGGAGAAAATCCTCAAAAATAGTGAGGAACTCCCGAACGAGGTAGACAAGACTGCAGAAATGCCGATTGGTCCCCAGGACTGCACTGAAATGGACGTCCAGACGTTCCACGTCACTCTCACATACAAACCTCGTATATGAAAGGAACAATAGGACTAATAATTCAAATAACACAAAATAAACTAACAAAAGGGATAAGACACTAGGAGAATTTAGCTATGCCAAATTCAACAACAATTAAACAATAACTCTAGAGGAATAGTCTAGCTAATTAATTCCAAAAAAAATTAGTAATCGGAGTAGAAGAAACTATTCACTGGAAATTGTGTGGTGAGAAGAGACAGGGCAAGCAATGTCATGTGAACTATTTTGTGGATATCTCTGAAACTAAGGGGTTTAAGCGTAAATGTTATAGAACCTTTTTTGTAACCGAGGAAATTCTCTACAAAAAAGGTTTTCAGATATTTTCTCCTAGCATCAATGATCATTGAGATAATCAACAAAGAATAATCAATGACAGATTTCAGATAAATTTTGATGACATTTTTCCAAATATATTTATTTAGATAGTTGTATTGAGAAGTATATAAGGTATTCCCCATCAAATGAGTCAATCGCTGACCCTCACCCTCTTGGAAATTGATGGCGATTTTTTCTACGATTGAAGGGGTTGAAAAACTATCTCTCAAATTTTTTTGGATTTTTTCGGCAGCCCAGTTCGGAGATATGATTTTTCGTTTTTCCTTGTTTTTCGACAACCCGAGTTCTATCCGTCGGATGTTGGTTTATTAAGCGTCAAAATTTTTCATTTATTACTGCCCATCAGAATATTTTTAGTGAAAATTTTTGTTCGATCTCTACATGCTCATAATAACGAATTTTCAAAAAAAAAGTTGAAAAACTTGAATTTTGCAAATTACGTCACCGTTAATTTGTTTCATTTTTTTCAGTAATTCTTTTAATCAAAACAAGTATTTTGAGCTGTCATAAAAGTTGAGCATCCTCGTGGATCTATTTTATTTCCAATTTTTTCTTATCCAAATTCCGCGAATTTGGTCAAAACGTCCCAAAATGGCGTTGATTGACTTTGATTACAGACAGTATGAAGTAAATTTGACTGTAAACATATATATTACATATTTTTTCGTTACATAGCTGAAGTCGTTTTGGGGTGTTTTGATCACATTTGCGAAATTTCGAAAATAAAAAAATTAAAATTGAATACATCCAGGTGGATGCTTAACATGAATGACGGCTTAAAATACTTGTTTTGATTATAAGAATTACTGAAAAAAAAAAATTTTTAAATCAACCATGATGTAATTTGTAAAATTCAAGTTTTTCAACTTTTTTCGAAAATTCCTTATTATGAGAATCTAGGAATGGAAAAAAAATTACTAAAAATACTCATTAGGCGGTAAAAATGGAAAATTTTGACGCTTAATAAATCCAAATCGGACAAATAGAACTCGAGTTATTGGAGAAAAACGGAAAAATAAAAAAAATCATATCTCCGAACTGGTGAGGGTCAGCGGTTGACTCATTTGGGGTGAAATACCTCATATGATATTAATAATTTGGCAATACCTTGAAAACTTGTAGGTCTGAAGAAAAATGTCAAAATATTTTTCGTGTAGCCAAGACAATTTTCTACAAAAAACAAAAGATAATTAATGATACATTTCCAATAAATTCCAAGGAAATTTTCGTCAATTACGTCCCTATCTAAAAAATGGAAGATGTTATAGGGAAATATCAGAAGACTTCTAATCGTAAAACTGTTTACTGAAAAGGTCTTTTGGCAATATTTACAGAATAATCTGCCTCGTCTCCTTTCACCACGGAATTCCCCACTAGACGTCAAACATAATAATAATCCACAAGCATGGAATATACAGCAAACAAACTAGCGCAGGATTTTTTTAACTTAGTGAATAACAAAGAAGAGATGAAAAAAATCGCCTGCTTCGATTCCCTCCAGCTACTACGATATAATAATATCGGTCTCGGGACTCATAAACCAATTTTTTTGTATCGTTTAAATCACTGAGACATCGACGTTAAACGAAGGAAATCCGTCGATTAACGAAGAAAGGAAAGAAAAAAAGTGTTTGTAATTGTTAGACAATTAATTCGTAAGCGTTCACTGTGTGTCCAATAATCGTCGATTTGCATTTCTACATTGACTGGTATTTTTAGCGATTATCTGGGAGGATTCTCAGACCAAGGCAGGCATCTCATGCTCATTCCAAAACGAGTAATGTTAACGATTCGATATTATTGTTAAAAATTCCTGTCGTGAAGTGATAGAAATGAAAAAAAAAATATTCATAACTTATTTCCCAAATATTTATGAAACTGATGGGTCTTGAGAAAAATATCGAACGACCTTTTTTACGGAAATATTTTGACGAAATTTGTACAAAGAATGCATTTAACATTGAAATTTTCCTTCATTATTATTTGATTATCCGAGTAATAATCAATTTTTTAAGAATTTTCGAAAGATCCTTTTGTAGGTAATTTTGCGGGCTATTATAAAGATCTTTTAATATTCTCAAACATTTTTTAACAAAGATATTTGCGAAATACTGAGCAATTTTGCTATGAACTAGTTGTCTTATATTACTTCACTACAGTTCTGTGAAACTCTCATCATTCCAACTGCATTTTTATTCTTCCACTAATGATAATTTCAATCGTGATTATTATTGTCATTGAATAATAACCCATGGAAAAACATTTTATATTTTTTCAAATTTTTGTTCTTTTTCTTCGTCTAAAATTAGTTGAATAGTCCTAGCGAATAATCTCGAACGAGTATTAATCATCAAATATTCGTTAATATTTATGGTCTATTTATTTTATTATTTCTCGGCTACGAAATCCCATGAATGAATGGGTGAAGATTTTATTGGCAACAGAGGCAACAATCATTATTTTTTATATTCAATCAAATATTTTAATTATTATTTATCGGTCACAAACTGATTATTCTTTTCTGCATACATTTATTCTTTGAGACTAATTAGATTTATATAAATTTGATAACACAGAACGTCTGTGATTGTGGCTGCACATTACATGTCCATTTCATTGCGGAAAGGATGTAATAGAAGATGAATAGAAAAGGTAGAAAGCAAAATGGGTAAAATAGGAGAAATTTTTTGCAGATATTTGATATGAACTATGATTACAATATTAAATAGTCATTGTATTATCACCAATGTTTGTATGTATGCTTGCGACATTTAATACATGTTAGAGAAGACAGTAAACAATGTACGAAAACTCGTGATCACGTGATCAAGGGATATTTATAAATATTTGAACTTTTATACTTTTAATTAATTACAGACGTATTATGAAAACTACGTTTATCTATACACCTGGTTATGGTTACATATATCGGCCAGATCTAGCCAATTACTGTCTGATAATTCATTCATCAAATACAGACGGTAATTCTAGCAACAACATCGGATAATGTACATATTTCCGTTTTAGAAAGTTATAGTTTCACCTGATATTTTTATTTTTACCAGTAATTACTATTTTTTTTCTTTTCACACAGCGTTTTATCTCTAATTTATTGCACCAAAGAGCTTTCATTAAATAAAGAATAATTATTATTCTTGTTATTCACTAATGAAGTGATGAATGAGATGAGTTGAACTGTTCAAACACGAGAAAATCTAATATAGGAAAAGGTGGCGAGTCGCCAAGAAAATTGGACTTTTATTGGAAATTCCATTAGTTTTTCGCCGATTGCATTTGCTTAAGTGGGAAATGTTTTACAGAAAATATTCCATAGAAAAAAATCAACAGAATTTTATTTTTCACAAAATTTATTTTATTGAGATTTCTTTATGGAAATTTCTCGACATAAATTTTATAAGTTTCTTTTATTCATCCTTTTGCTCCTCTCATTAGAAAAAATCAAACCAAAAACTTTATAGAATTTAGTATACATTTAGTAATTCTATATTCTATATTTAATAATATAAGATAATAATAAATTTTTAATTATATTATTAAATATAGAATATATTAAATATCTATAGAAAATATCTCATATAATGCGTTGCATAATAAATCGTATTCAGTTTTTTTCTACAATTATTTCTCATTAAAAATTTCTATTGAGAAAAGCGCGCAGAAAAGTCGCGGATTTTTTCGATAGAATTGGTGAAAAATAATAGATTTTTCAATAGAAGTTGTAAAGAAATCAAATAGAATTTCCTAAAGAATGAGCTCAGTTCCTTATGGAATTCTCATACTGTGGGTTTTTCCCCATAGATTAATATCGATGTATCTAATGAACCAATAAGTTTAAAGAAGAATTTCAAAGTATTTTCTGCAGGGATTTGATGACCTATAGAAATGTTTTTTCACATGTTTCTCCAAACTTTATAGTTCAAGAGATATTTCGGGAATAATGTGCATGAAATTATTTGATTCATCTCAAAAGTTCATCACTACGATTATATTTGTTTATTTTTTCATGATATTTTTCCCGGTGACCCCATGTATGGAGAATTTCTATAAACTTGTTCTAGAGAAAATCCTGAAAGATAACTGTGAATGATTCGGACATTTTTATGAAAGAAGTCTGCTTTTGTATGAAAGAAATGATCATGATCGTTCGAGACTTTTGATAAGAGGAAGTTTTACCAGAGGAATTGATTGAAGAGATTGTCCTAATCAAGGCTTTTACCTGATTTTTTTTATTGTTGAACAACAAAATTGAACCTGTATTTTTTAGTGCCCATAGGTATGGAAGATTATCTACCGTAATGAATAATACAGATATTTCTCCAATAGACGGATTTTTTTACTCACAATCAATGTAATGTCAGAATGGAAAACATTCTTTTTATAATTCTCAACCAATTTTCTTATTTTCACGCATGAAAACATTCAATAGAAAACCTGGCGAATTCGCTAGGAAATTCTATTAGAATTTTATAGGAGTTCTACGGGGTTTCTATAGGATTTCGATTGGAATTCTGTTGAAAAATTCTGCTTGTTTTTGCGCTGATTCTACTGCTATTTCATAAGAAAAAATCAATATATTTTGAATTTCTGTTCGAATTTTTCTCTTGTGACTTTTTCTATGAGAATTATTGGGCACAAATTTTCCAAGTTTTTTCCGCTGGATTTTGTTTCGTTTTGCATTACAGAATCCGAGTAGAAAAAATTTTG